TGTGCTTTTTCTGATGATAAACTGTGTACACAGGGATAAAATGAATACAGAACACAGTGTTACTGCCCACATTATTGTGTAAAAGCTGTGAGCCACACCATGTTCCTTTTATATTTTTCTTACAAGGAGACAGTTGTATCGAGATCTTGTTTAAATTGTGAACATGAAAAAGCTTTGAATGTCCTTCAAGCAGGCTGGAGAACTATTACTGAAGACAACTTACAGAAAATACAAGAAGGCTGCCTAAGAGGGTTCAGGCTATGTTAATGAATAAAGGCAGTTATACCAAATTTTGATTCAGAGGGCTGTTGCAGTTACACAGACTCTGTTTTTGCGTCATGTTTTGTGTTTGATTTGTGTTTTCACGCTTCCTTCGTGTTTGTTTTCAAGCGAAATATAATAAAATCACATGACTTTTCAGCAGTTCTGTGTATGAAAGATGGGGTACTGCAGTTTACTAATTTCTCTGAACTCCTCGTGTCTGTTTTTCACAGTACTTGAGAAATCTGGATCCAAATTCAGCGTACTACGATCCAAAGACGCGAGCAATGAGAGAGAACCCGTACTCCAACACTGGCAAGAACCCTGATGAGTAAGTTATGGGTTTGTTTTTTGTTTTGTTTTTTTGTTGTTGTTGTTGTTGGGTTTTGTTTGGTTTTTTTGTTTTTTTTTAAATCAACAGAGGAATAGTAGAAATAGTCTTGGAGTAACTGAGTGGACACTGAAATCATTTTTGAACTGTTTTGTGTAACAGAGTGGGGTACGCTGGAGACAACTTTGTTCGCTACAGTGGAGCCACAATTTCCATGGCTCAAACACAATGTAAGTCCTAAAGTTATGGTTCCTTCTTTTCAAACACCTCACAACCTTAACTCTTTAGGTTTTGGAAGTATGACTTTACTTATATTGGAAATGAGTCTAGAGATTTATTTATTTTTGGCCACTGTGATCAAAACTGTTGAATGTTTGACTGGATTATAATAGGTTACCAAAAGTCATCCAAAAGTGGAAAAATCAGCATTTATAGAGTAAAAATCAGCTGCAAAAAGTAAAAAGCAGCCTGCTAACAATAGTGGTTAACATCTATACATCTATTTAGACACAGCTAAATTAAAGAGTCCCTCTCCTGTCACACTTATGTTATATATGAGACACCAAAAGGCAGGATCTTAGTTACTTAGTAAAGGATAATTATGATGAAATCTGAGCTTTTTCTTATCTGTTAAGACCACAGAGTGTAATTTGTAGCAATTGTCATTGTCTCGTGACAGTGTTTGCCTGGGAGGCTTATGAGAAAGGCTCCGAGGTGCATCTGCAGGCTGACCCCACCAAACTGGAACTGCTGCATCGTTCCTTCAAGGTCAAGAAGGAGGACTTCAAAGAAGAACAGAGAGAGAGCATCCTGGAGAAGGTACACGGCTGATATGTATTCATTTAGCAACAGGATGAGGCCAAGAAGAGTGAACTGTACATAAGAGATGGGAGAAACTTTCTTCAACCATCTTATGAGTGCAGATGTTGCACAGTTTGTCCACCGGATGGCACTCTGCAGCTTCTCTGTTGGCAGCATGTTTGAGAACACCACAAACAACCAGTCTATCTGAGCAGTCGGGCTTGGATCAGCTGTGTAAAGGAGAAAATAAATAACTACAAATATTAGGGATATCAGAAAGAAAAAAAAATATTGGCTGATATATCAGACCGAACTTCATATCAGTCACAGTCTGGGCTTTACTGATGATGTTTCTGCTTTTGTGTGTGACAATCAGTATGGAGGCCAGGAGCATTTGGATGCACCACCGCGGGAGTTGCTGTTGGCCCAGACGGAGGACTACGTGGAGTATTCGCGTCACGGCGCTGTGCTGAAAGGACTCGAAAAGGCTGTCGCTCGCTCCAAATATGAGGAGGACGTGCTCATCAACAACCACACTGTAAGAAGGGCAGACTGTAGCAAATGTGTGGCTAATTTTGTTACATTTTATTTATGTTTTATCCTAAAATCAAGATCATATCTCCTCGTTAGTGTATTTGGGGTTCCTACTGGAAAGACGGCTTCTGGGGGTACAAGTGTTGCCACTCCATGGTCAAACAGAGTTACTGCACAGGATCAGCTGGAATTGGAATTGTAAGTACATTTACTGAGAGTATTTGAAGCGTTTGTTTGATGGATAGGATATCAGTTTATAAAGTGGTCACAGATTTCTCACTTTCTGACTGTGTTTGTATATGAACCCCTGCAGAACAACTCAGAGTGCACTCCATTTGAAGAGGCAATAACTGAGCCACAGGAGGAGGAACAGCCCAAGACTCTGCTAGAAGTAAGGGACACTGTTTTTAAAAAAAAAAAAATGCTGCAGTTAATGTTAATAAGCTTAAATGTAATGTTCATTATTAAAATATTTGTGATCACCAGATGCATCAAGATAAGATGAAAGAGAAGAAGAAGAAAAAGAAGAACAAAAAGAACAAGAAGCGCGACTCCGACAGCAGTGATTCGGAGGATGAGGAGAAGAAGAAGGAAAAGCTGAAGAAGGTAATGTTTTTGTTTTTGTTTGACAGCCGTGTTTGTTTTGATGAGTTTCTCCGTGTCTGACCTCCAACCGCCGTCTCCTTCTCAGGCTCTAGAAGCAGAGGACAAGCGGGTGAAGCAGGTGGAGATACTAATGCAGCTGGATGAGAGGAAGAGGCCGTACAACAGCTTGTTTGAAGTAAAGGCGCCCACTGAGGAGGAGATGGAGGCCTTCCGCATGAAACGCAGCAGGCCAGATGATCCCATGGCTTCCTTCTTGGGACAGTGACCTTTTCAGTCCCGGCAGATTCCCCTAAACTCTCCCCAAGGACTCTACTAGAGCAGCTGCTCAGTAAAATATAAAATCCCACATTCACTCAAGTTTTGTGTTTTGGAAAGAAGTGCTGGAGAAACTGTGTATAGTATTTTGTAAAAGTTAATGTTGACACATTGTTTTGAAGCTGCATGTCCATAAAATGTGGAACAACAACAAAAGGTGTTTCGCTTCAACAGGAGACATTTAAATACTTTCAAACCTTTCAAATTCAGTCTTTACAGGAAACATGAGAAACGTAACTGCATTTCTTTTTATAATAAAATCCATTTGCCTGAATGTATGGTTTTTTGTTGTTCTTGTTTTTTGGGTTTTTTTGCATGGGTGGAGGGTTGTACATGAGGTATGAGCAATGGGTGGAAACATGACTTGGGCGGCTGATCCTTTTAATTTTGCTGAACCTCAGTAGTTGTTGTTAGCATGGCTGTATATACATATCGTGTTTTCCAGTTATGGACTCCAGAGGAAACTTAAGTATGTGGGGAGATTTGTAAATTAGTACACAACAACAGAAAGTAATATGGAAAGAACAATTCAAAAGGCATTTCCAACATTTCTGTCAGGTCTGAGACTTCATCGATTTAAGTACTGATCTGAAGAGAAAGTGGAGGATTACTTCATAGTGACCTCCACTACAGGCCAAAATGAAACTGAAGCTGCCCTTCTAGTTTCTACCCTTCACTGAATCCCTGCTGTAGGGAACGGCTTGTTTATGTAATGTTCTCAGTGATCATGTTCCCCATGTAAGTGATCAGGGTCTAAAAACACAGTTCTTTGTAAAAGTACCCACCAGAGTTATTATAATTATTGTATTTTCTAATTATTTATTTATTGTTTTTAAATTTCATTTTGACTCTCTTGTTAGTTCTGACAGTGAGCCTGTGCGTTTCACTTTACTTTTTAATTGTTTTGCTTTTCTCAATATTAGCTTTAGCCTTGCAAAATATCATTTTACAGAGGGCAAATGCTGGAGGCAAGATTTAAGAAGATCAGTTCAAGTTTCACACAAAAACCCCACTGCTTCTGAAAACAGTTAATTCACAGTCTTGTAGACTCTCATTAAAGATGTCCATTAAAAACTCATGGGGGCAAACTGTAACTTTACCAAAGTAACAACAAAAACTAAAGACATTTCATCAATATTTGTATTTAACTTTAATTCGTTTGCCAGGATTACAAAATCATGTCAGTTAGTTTTGACACCCCCCCCCCCCCCCAGTCTAGTTTTTATTTTAGGTAACCCGGGTTTTCACATGTAAATTGAGTTTTAGAACTATTTGATTGCTTTTAAAAACCATAAACTGAACCTTGCAAGGTGTGTTTACCTTGCAAGGTTCAGCGACGAACAATTCTGGATAATTTATTTGGAAAAAAAAAGAATTAATTATGTACTTTTTAATTTTGCTTTTTGTAGCCTTGTGTGTTAAGCATAACTAGGGCAGAGATAAAGGGGGAAAGAAGGGAAAGGACTAAAATCTGAAATACCTAAAAAAAAAAAAAAAGTCACCCAGAGTGTCACCTAATGGACTGAACTGAAAAATGAATGCAAACATGAGATGGCTACCTCTTCATTCACTGGGTGATTTTCTGGAAAGCCCTGATGAGGGTTCCAAGGTGGAGAAGAGGACACCAAAAACAAGCAGTCAATCTCAGCGTTCCTTATCTCAGACTGCAGGGAGAAGTCTGTCCTTGTGCTCCTCATTAACCAGGTGCACACATTATCCATGTGCATTACACATGAACACAGTCAGAAACCTAAAAAATGGCAGACGTGTTTTTTCAGTGGTTCCTCTTTCTTGTGTCTCTTGTTTTTTGTAAGATGTGCTCTACATAGTAGATTTATTCATAAACTTTACAGTGTGGGACAATTTTAGTACTTGTAATAAGACAAGGAAACGTAAATGTTTTTTTTTTAATTTTCTTTTTCTATTATTGCAACATTTGACCACTTCTGAGGACATCAGTATCTAAATGCATAACGTGTAACAAGCGAAATGTTTCTGCTTTATCCTTTTTAGCCCTCGTTGTGTAATCTCTTGCTTCCTCACAGCAGAGTTTGTGAACCACTGATGTGTCACTGCTTCAGCTGTTGCACTGACTTGAATGTAATGACATCATGGTGAAAGTATTTTTTTTTTTTTTGGCCTATCACTCGCATAAACAGGGCGGATGTTACGGAGACTCTGGGCTGCACATTTCTCTGCAGAGCTTCTCTTGAAGAATGTTGCCTCAATCGTTTGTTGGAAATGTAGGAAGGTTTGTGCACTCTGATGCAGAGAAAGGGCTCGGACGGAGCTGAAAAATACCCATGAGTCATAATTTCTCAACTGGTGAGTTCTTACTCTGTGCTTTTAAAATGGCTGACACACTCCTTTATATAACCTACTGTAAGCTGCATGCTTTTATGTAACCAGAACATATAACAGATGCATCAGATTTGTCATTAGTTACTGAGGGATTGCATGAAAATGGCCACACCATCTAGATGCCCGTCCACATGGTGTGTTAGGTTTTAGTCTCTGGTTGACTCCAGGAATCTTTTACCACATGTTTGCATCATCTGATCAGTGGCTGCAAAACTCAAGTCAGTATAATTATTGTAAACAGTTGCTTCCCCTTGTCTCTTTGTGACTCTACAGTTCCCATCATGCTCCAGATGTTTGTGATGATCTATGTGCTGTCAGTTGTCGTCTCGCAGTCAACAAATCCCCCATCTAAGAGAGGTCGGAATTTCACCATCCACTCATCCCAGCTGGTCTGCAGTCTGCCGGGCCCAGCGGGGCCTGCAGGGAACCCAGGAGCCCCTGGATCACCCGGGGCCATGGGCCCCATGGGGCCCCCCGGGACAGACGGCCAAGATGGGAAGGATGGAGAGAAGGGAGAGAAGGGAGATCAAGGTAGTAGTTAATCTCTAGTTGTATGTTACTGTGAACTTGAATGATCTTCACATCATATATGTCACTGATCTGATTTTTCTTTAGCACCTCTCCAACATCTATGCACAGATGTCTGAAGTTGCAAGTTCTTAACTGTAAAGGGAATGTTTTTATTGCCATTTGACTTTTTTGGTCATTAGCTTCATATTCAGACCTTTTTCAGTTACTTAAACGAGCCTGTTGATTTATTATTTATTATCACAAGTTTTGAAGAGTCAAAAAACATCTAAACAGCCCTAACATGCCAATTAATATGCTCTTTTCTTTTGTCAGTGACAATTTCACAGGGAACGTTTTAGGCTCTTAAGAGCTTTTGGTCATCAAAACAATTAAACTACTCTCACAATTAACAGAACACTTTGAAAACAATCAGATATAGGGAAAAAATGACCACACGCTTTGCCATGATACTGGGGGGCTCTCGCACTGCTCATCCTGTTCCTCTTTGCACAAAGGAGCAGACACCAGTCTCTAAGGACCTTATATGGCCTGTCCAGCTCTCCTAGAGTAACTGTCTGTCCCCTGAAATCTCTTCTATGACAGCAAACCTTATGCTAATGGCACGCAGTGATGTGTCATTCAAGAGTTGAACTACCCGTAGAACCTCTAGGATCCAGGTATCACCTCATCCTGGCAGTTGTTACCAGTGACCCTAGACAAATGCAAAAGTAGTGAAAAAACACAGTCAGAGGGAAAATGTCAGTGGCTTCCACCTGTAAAACCATTCCTGTTTGGGAAACTGTTTCATTGTTGCCCCTCTACTGCACCCAAAACAGCTGAAAGTGATTCACAACTCCCTCCGTATCATTTAACTGACCAGATCAATATCACAGAAGTTTAACTGATTTTCTACACTCTGATTTAAACGTGTTCCTTTATTTATTTTGAGCACAGTATTTGTTTAAAACACGATTTTGGATTTTTTAGCCTTTATTTAGATAGAATAGTGAAGAGAAGACAGGAATGCTAGGAGGTCTTGGTGAGACACATGGTAAATGGACCCAGGCATCTTCAATAGCCTTAAAGAACATAGCTAAGCTGCTCAAGCATGTCAGCTATACTGGTGCCCAGATTATACTATTTTATTGTCATCTTGTTATTATTTATGTGTTATCAGGTGATCCAGGGAGACCTGGGAACCCAGGCAAACCGGGTGAGAAAGGTCGTGAGGGTATTATTGGCAAGGCCGGACCTCGGGGACTGAAAGGACAACGTGGAAAACCCGGAACATCTGGAACCTGGGGACAAAAAGGAGATGTGGGTGACATGGGCGAGGAAGGAGCTCCAGGTGGTTGTAACTGTGGCAAGCAAGCACGATCAGCTTTCTCTGTGGCTGTGACAAAGAGCTATCCTAAAGAGCGCACGCCCATCCGCTTCACCCGGATCCTGCTGAATGAAGGGAATCACTACAATGCCTCCAGCGGGAAGTTTGTCTGCGTTATCCCTGGAGTTTATTACTTTACCTATGACATCACACTGGCCAACAAGCATCTCGCCATCGGGTTAGTTCACAATGGGCAGTACAAGATCAAAACATTTGATGCAAACACTGGGAACTATGACGTGGCATCTGGTTCTACTGTTCTCCACCTGAAGGAGTCAGACCAGGTCTGGCTGCAGATCTTCTACTCGGAGCAGAACGGACTCTTTTTTGATCCCTTTTGGACAGACAGCACCTTTACGGGCTTCCTAATCTACCCTGACCAGGAATTTCTCAATGAAGCAGATAGAAAAGCAAATGCTCAGGATGAAAATGAATGAACTGTAATTAAGATTTATATCTAATTGAACTTCACAAGTTTGGGCTTTGTGGAATTTCAGTTGTTTAAGACATTCGTCACCAGGAGGCGCACTAGGAAAGAAAGAAAATCAACTGGAGGAATCACACAATAAAGCCTTAATAGTGAACAAAAAACATTTTACCTGAAATATTATGCCCTGTTCTCATAAAATATTTAAATTTATGTAACCCAAAATAATTTAATTCTGTTTCTTTTTTTTAAACTCCTTGATAGGAGATGGCACAGTGCCTTCTTCTTTTTCCCCCCTTTTCCCTTTATTAACCATTATAAAACACAATTTGAAATAAAATCTAAATTATATTGTAAGATAAATTATTTTACAGTGTTTGTGTTTTTGAGTCAAAACTGGTTAGCACTGTCCTGGTCCCTGTGTGGAATTTTCATGTTCTCTCCAGGTTCCTCCCACAGTCCAAAGACATGCAATTAGGTGGGTCAGGTTAATTGGTGACTCTAAATTGCCGGTAGAATATAAGTGTGAATGGTTATCTCTCTCTTTGTGTTGGCCCTGGCGACTTGTTCAGGGTGTACCCTGCCTGTCACCTGGGTTAGGCTCTAGCCCACCCCTGCAACCCTGAATTGGATAAGAGGAGGAGAATAGGTGGAACAGTTTTTGAGTATTTGTGTATGGTTCATTAACATGGCGTGTATTTTTGTGTTCAAGTTCATAATTACTTTCATGACACATAGAAGTGTATTCTATAAACTAACATCTTTTAAATAAAACTAATAAGCATTTTAGAAATCAAATAACTCATCTTAGAGTTTTATTAATTTAATTAAATGTAATTTCTACCGATTGCGCCACTGGAGTTTTGCACATACTATCAATTTAAATGGCATTTTACTTGAACACTTGTATTAACTCGTATTGCATCACTTTTTTATGCCCAAAAATTTTTTTGAACAAACTGAAAATTTATTCAACTCAAAAAGTTTTTCTTCCAGCGAGACATGAAATTAATAAATGATTGTAAACAGAAATGATGCACTAGGATAAAATAATATGCATGTCATGCCAATCACATGTGTATCAAATTATATAAATATTAACCTGCAGTTTTGTATTTGTAGAAAATTTTAAAATTATTTCTCACTTAAAGTCATCATGCTCAAGGTTGCTTCACGGGCTGAATTGCTTAATAGAATTCAGGTTAACACTTTATAATACAATCTGTGATTAAGGGCATAATCCTCCTGCAATTAAATCAAATTTTAAGGTATTTTGTTTTAAATTATAATGTAATTTTCCTAAAAATACTTAAAGGTAGATACGTTAGAATAATATGTATGTATTTATATGTATTTGCATTTGCATGTATACAATTTTATGTAGCACATGAGTAATTTAAGTAATACACAACTTCATGTAACTTACAGGAGAGAAGAAATAGTGACATTTTAAGTCATTTTAAGTAGTGTCAAACTTCCGGGTATTTTACAGGAAAGGAGACAAAAATTATACTGTGAGTAAATTTAAATACTGCATAAACAATTTTAAGTACCATACTACATACTTTCCTGGTAATTGTGCCATCTTAAATTATAAGTACATTATGCTTTTTGGGTTGTTGGCCGTATTATAGAGTGAATTTAAGTTACGCATTATTTAAAATTACTTGTACATGAATTAAATGTATTTACAGTATAAATACTTCTTTGTATTCTGTAAAAAAAACAACCCAAAACACTTTTCCCCACTTACCTCACTTCAAGTATTTGTAGGTAAATATAATTACATTGTAATTTCAAATAAACTACATTCCACTGCAATTCCATTTAATTAGTCATGGGCCATACTGTAAAGTGTTACCGAATACAGGACAATGACAGACTACATTAAGGAGACAAAGGATTGGAGAAACACAAGAACATGCTGCACCTCCTGTGTTTCTTTACTTTTAGAGGCCGTTCATCACCATTTCATGGACCACAGGGGGATTTTTAACTGGGGTTTTATACTCAAATGTCTCAAAGTCATCTGTGGGTATTCACATCACACATAGAAGCAATTAATCACACTTGATCTAATGTGTTACTTAACTAAAGTATCCATAACCTATGATACTTCAGGGAAGAAATGCAATTCTGCTTTTAAACTTGTGCTTATGTAAAAGTACAAATACATCAATGGCAAACCTGAAAACTTCATTTTAGAATAGTTAGTCAGTGTAGAGCTAATTTAAACAATTTACCCATGTAAAGTGTTAATAGCTATTTGGAGTCAAATCTTTTGCAGTACGCTTCATGCAGGCACAGCTTCTGCTACAAACACTCAGATAACAGCTTTCTTAAGTAAACAGAAAGAAAGCAGCATTTTATTTATATACAGGCTCAGCTCCCCTGTTCTTATGTTTGCAAAATCTTCCTTTTTGTATGGAACCTGGAAGCATGCTGTATAATTCTCCTACTTAGATGGCTCTAGCTAAAAATAACCGAATCACTTCTAAAAAGTGTTATACTTGAATCAAACACTTTCCTTCAACAAAAATGTATGACTGTATGACTGTGTACGTGACAAATAAAAATTTGAATTTGAAAAATGTGAAAATATGATGCTTTACTCTCATCTCTGTCAGTGGCTCAGTAGGTAACCCAATGCACCACTATAGAGCCTCATGTTCCCATGCAGAGATGCTGAGTTTAAATCCCCCAAAGTCAGCCAAGAGTGATGTTTAGCAAAATGGACTCACACAGGTTTGCACTTAACGAATGCCAGTGTGATATCTAACTTCCTTTAAATGGCAGTTGTCATTATCAAACAAATATACTGAAGCAATTCCTCAGCTAGACCATATCCTATTCCTTCCCCTAAACTAATTCAAACAGATACCATACTGAAAGCACAGTATCTGCTTCACTGCTTTTGTGGTTCCCCGGGTTCCAGCATTTACTTGGGGATCATTTAGCTCAAAGCATTCAACCAATGTTTTTAAGAAGCACACACAAGCTCTTTATATCTTGCAGTTTAAGATAATTGTTAGCATAAATCTTGTGCCAGATAAACAGTTTATAAAGGCTGTTGAAGCCTGTGTATTGTTGTGTTTTTTGGTACTGATACAGGGGGAAAGCTTAGAGTCAGGGATACAGTGCTGTGACAATTATTTGCAAATTTCTCTATTTCTTATTGTTTTATATTTGTCATATTTACATGTTTCAGATCATTAAGAAAGAAAGAAAGAAAGAAAGAAAGAAAGAAAGAAAGAAAGAAAGAAAGAAAGAAAGAAAGAAAGAAAGAAAGAAAGAAAGAAAGAAAGAAAGAAAGAAAGAAAGGGGTCAGATACTTCTTCACTGGACTGAACAGTTAGCTCTCACACTTGATAGCATTAAAATAGACAACTTCAATAACAGCACTTCCAAAATCACTGGAATTCTTGCTCAAAGGGAATACTGTCTGGGATTTCGGTCTTAAAAGATAGGTAAATGTTTAATATAATATAATATAATATAATATAATATAATATAATATAATATAATATAATATAATATAATATAATATAATATAATATAATATAATATGCATTCGTTAACATTTTGTATATTAAATAAATGAAATGAGATCCTTTGCTGAACTGTAGCCGTTTGTAGTTCTAGCGGTGACCTTTAAAGACTACAATTCCCAGGCTGGGGGAGGAACCTCACGTCTAGCGCACGAGCTCTGTAGACCAACAGTAGCAGCTGGCTGAGCCGAAGAGGCTACTTTGTTAACAGCGAAGCCACCGGAGAGAAAACGGCTCAGTGGTTTCTCTCGGAAAAGTGTGAACAGTTTGGGGGAAACGGGGAACCCGAAGGCCTGTCGGTGGGATTTAACGGTGGCACCTACTCTGTTTTGTGTTATTAACTTTGTTTTTTCGCCGACAAAAAGAGGTCTTACTCAAAGTTGAGCCGTAGCGGAGTTCTGTCGTTCAGGATGTCGGACTGAGACAAAGGGGTCTGGGGGGCATTCCCGACGGAGCGGTGAGTGAAACAGGCGATAACTACCAAGACTAAAAAAAGAAAGAAAAAGTTTTCTTTGTTGCTGATTGCCGGAAAAATAATCTGAGTTTGTGATGAGCTCAGTATTTCTGAGCCTGGTGGGCACAGTTAACTTAAAGCCCGTCTGTTTGGCCGCAGTCTCGTGGTGTAGAATCGCCTTCAGTCATAACTGAAATGTAGGACTGGTTGGTGATTTGCCTTCGCGATGAACAACCACGTTAAAAAATGAGATTTTATGGAAGGCTGCTTTGATGAGACTGACCTACAGCATGGTCGAAGGGGGCATTTAACCGAGCCATTAGGTTTCCGAACACAGAAAATGGCCTATGCGGGGAAATAGACCTGTGCAGCGAGATAAAGGTGTTTAAAAACTTTATCAAAAACGCATTCCTCGAAAGGGTATTTATTTATTTATTTTTTACTGTCAACGAGAACAAAACAGCTAGCTTACTAATCCTACATTTTAAATTAAAGAGGACAGTTGTAGAAAGACTTAAATTCAGCTTTGCTTTCTTTCCTCTCATGTGGTAAAAATAGTCTCAACTTTCAGTGTGGTGGCTATACTGGCTTGGCCTTGCTTCTTTCTTCAAGTACCTGAACTTTGTCTGATTTTGCTTTCAGCAGGTAAAACTAGGAAAGATGGAGAGGGAGCTGGAATGGTGGAAGGATCAGTTAGCTGCAGATATCCATCAGTCCCTCCGCATTAAGGTGAGTTTGTCTGAACTAAGCTCTGTTTTAACAGGAAGTTTTATTTTGCCGACCTTCTTCTGACTGCTTGCGCTTAGGATAACTTAAATTCACCTTTAAAAACAGTAACCCCCCACCTCTCCTCACAGCACTAGGCTTTTGCAGCTGACATTTTCAAACAGTGAGGCCAAAATCAACAGTGTCTGTGAATTAAAAAAACAAAACAAAAAAAAAACTTGCTACACACTGCAGTGCAGTGCTTATCTTTATCACCAGCTCAGAGGAAATCTAGAAAAACGCCAGCAAACATTGACAGTTTTACTTCTGCCTAATCAAATCCGTGAATTAAAGTGATTAACAGTGAGTCAACAAACACTGATGTTAAACTCTCAACTGCAGCTTTGCCAAAGTTTGTTACTCAAATGGATTATAAGTGTTTAGTTTTAGTTTTTTAATTGCACCCTTTGCCTTGTTCTAAAGACCAAGTGATTACTATTGATTTTCAGAAGAAAATGTTAAAAGTAATTTTTCTTTTTTTGAGCAGTTGTGGCACGCATTTGAATCAGACCCTGAGCTGTATTGATATTCCACGACAAGATGTAATGTTGCGAGGAAAATATAATTACCCGGTCCTGCTGTCTATTTAAACATAGTCTAAATTAGATTACATGGAGGATTTAAGGCTCATTAATTGAGAACATCTTAATTAACCTCAGAGCGTGATCATATTTCTTCCCCATGTGTCACTTTAATGGAGACATCTGTCACTTTGCTGGCATTTTCATCTTCATAGTGATGGAGCTCAGGTTTAGAAGATCAGGTATCTTAAATGTGCCACAAATCGCAAGAATGTGTGTAGAATGAGGAGTGTAGCGTATCGGGTGGTTGTGAGCTGCATGTAATGAGTCACACGCTTGCATAGCATTTGAATCAGTTTACGCATGCTGGACAGTGTCTGACTCAGAGTGAGCTGTCAATTACACTGAAAGTCTTTATGCAGAGCTGGAAACAAAACAACACGCCCACTCTTTTCTCATCTGTGACAATGAGAGACATGCTGTCCGTCTCAAGTGTTTCTAGTCAAATCTAAAGCAACTGTTTTCACCACAGTATGATATGCAGCACTAAATGATCTAAAGTTACAATACAGGAATACCTGGTGGATGCTGTGCAAACCTGCCTGTGTTGTACTGCAGTGAGTTAGACAGTTTCAAAGCAGGTTTTTCTCAGTTTCTAAATTATTTTGATCAGGCGACTGATTTGTAGACAGTTGTAGTGTTTTTTTTTTTTTGTTTTTTTTAATACATTTTTTTTCTTGCCATGGACTTGAATCTTTTACCCAAATTCACAGGAGTCTTGGTCATCCACACAAGATCGCAGATACCACTAGATGTCTTCATGTAGAAACGCACTACAGTTGTTTCAAAGAAAATTGGGAATTTCTTTACAATCATTCCTTTACCTAGGCCATATTGGGAATAAAAGATATATAGGAAAGCCAATAGATCATAGAAAATCACATTGGGTTTTAAGTAGTAAAAGTAGATAAGAATCAAGTTAAGTAATAATAGTACAATAAAGAGGATTAAACCAGATAATGCAAATTGAAGCATGGGTACACTGTTATCCCCCGATTACATGTAATAAATGACCATAAGACTTTCATTTGAATTTGAACAGACCTCAAGATTTCAGATTTTGTTCTCAAGACTAAACTGTTTTTATGCTGAAATGACTGTTTAACTTATGGATCATTAACCATGCCAGATGAAAAAAGAATGCTGCTTTTAGATGACTTGAAAGCTGACATTTCTCTAAACAGAACAACTCATTTAAAATCTAGAGTAAATCTTTTTTTTCCCCCAAAAAATAAAATAATTGTCAGTTGCTTGGTTGTTTTATGTCTTCAGAAATAGTAAATTTCCATAAACCTGTAATGGA